AAAACACTGCATTGTGAACTTTTATCTTCAATTCTTTAATATTAACTCAGAAGGTGTGGGGGGTTTTAAAACATGAACATCAGAGGGTATAACAATTGCTTTTCTCAGGAATACACAGTGCACTTCAGCAGGGCCTCATTCTATATGAATATGTAAGTGGGGGAGAAATATTACAAGCATTACCCTTTTTTTCAGTTTTAGATTAAAGCAGGACAAACTGGGAAATTTACAGGAGTTGTTCATTCATTAACAGAAGAGGACCTACTGTACCCAAACCCCAGGTTATATTAAGAGAGGGTCAATGCATTCTTTCTGAAGCTTTTGAAGTTCATGCTTCATTAGGCTGCATGACATTTTGCCTTGGAAGTGGGAGCTCTCATCTCTATCAAAAAGTCTCCTTGAGAAACTCTGCAGGTTACACAGCTCCTAAGTGGCAGTTTAGACAAGAGACTCCATCCACAGACCTGATTAAAGACCAAAGCCAATGGCAGCATTTTTATCAATTAAGTGTTTGCCCTCTCATGCAATCACCAGTTATGACACATTTGGGTTTGTCACTCCAAATAACGTGGGCACACCTTAGACAAACCATGCAGAGGAGGAGTGCTGTGATTTAAAACAAGTTTGTTCCTTTTAATCTAAAAGGAAAAAGGAAAAAAGTTTACAGCAATACATCATGCTTCTCCAGCTGCTAATCTTTTCCATTTCACACCCACTGATCATTATCACCATGAAAAAATATTCCCGTCTTAAAGGCAGATCTAAGGTTGTAACCTTGGTTGCAATCAAAAGTAGATGAGATTAATGTTTCCCAACATTTCCCTGCATGTCACCCCAGTGCTTTTCCAAAACATTCTTACCCAAATACTGCTCTCCAGTCATTTTTCTAGAAAAATAACCCCAAACCAACACTGATTTCAGAGATGTAGGAGATGCGACTGGGTTACAAAAATGATCGATAATTCTACAGAGACCCCAGAGCCAGCAGAGGCTGAAACCAGAAGCTGTGCACATCACTTTTGAAGGGAGATTTTCTGGACATTCTGTGCAGCTGAAGACACAACCTTGATCATTCTTTCACGTGTACTCCACATTTATTAAAGTTTGGGTGGAAATAAGGATGTGGCTTGTGAGCCTTGATCCTTTTGTAATTAAATCTCCTGCTGAATAATCTGATGGACTCCCAATTAATGATAATGTTTCTAAAAAGATCAACACTTCACATTTGCAAAGCACTTTCCCATGGACGTTAGCAACAGTGGAGTTTAATCTACGTGACTAATGTAAACAATCTCATCTATAAACAGAGAATTAATGAATCACAACAATAAAACGGCCACCTAATAATACACTTCCATTGTTCAGAGCATTGTTAATCCTTTTTTTTCATACTCCTAGATGATCTGGATATTCCAACACAACAGTGACAAGAGCCAGGAAGTACCTTACAATGCTGAAGTTGAAGTTTTGACTTTTGGTGGTAGGGAGACACAATTTTTATAAAAACACGACAAACACTGAAGCATGCAAGCATGTAAAAAACCAAACAAAACTGAAGTTTGTGACTTCCTATCTCTCATCCTCCTGTTCCACCCCAGCCCTGTCAGCAAACTGAACAGCTTGGTCCTCCAGCTCTGAGATCCCAGGCTCCCTGAGCACAAAGGCCCAGGCAGACCCAGTAAGGTCTGAAACACTGTCCTGCATCCACTACACTGTGCCTGATAAGAATTCCCATATCAACAGGATGGCACTGAAATACAAGAGGGATGTGAGTAAAGTTAGTTTTGGACTGAATCCAGTGCCTGTGCATCAATAAAGATGTTCCCAACTGCAGTCTGAGGCAGATAACCAAAGGACTGCCTGGCTACAGGCACTTTTTTTTTTTAGCAGCTGAAGAAATCAATGCATCGTAAGGAAGTGGGTTTGAACATTTTTATTTCAAATTCACCCCACAATATTCAGCCACAGGCTCTGCTAAGTCCCACCACCCTTTCTAAATGCAATTCCATGCTGACATTGGTTGGGATGGGGGAGCTGCTTGCCCCCCATCTCATGTGAGCATCGCGCTATCGCACCCGAGCTAAATTGGGGAACACTTCCCTGCCCTATCTCTCCTGGCACCAGCTCCTCAGCCCCATGACTGCACTGCTGGGAGCAGCTCCCAGGGCCAGGGGAGCTCCTGAAACAGCCCCTTAGTGGAGATAACAACAGCTCTGGGTGACACACACAGTGCTCCTGGGGGACAGGAGCCAGCTGCTGGCAGAGCAAAGGAGGAGCAGCTGTCCCAGCCCAGACCTGCAACACTGCTGAGCTCCAGTTCCTGGCAACCTCATCAACAAGACAACAATGAGGCAAGGCTGAAGTGAGGCACTGAATCACAAAAACACAACACTCATTGTTACAGGATATGTTTTCTACCTTATTTCTTAATCTTCACACTTACAAGGGCCAGTAGTCTCATCATTACAGGCCGTGAGCTCTCAGTGGTCACAAACTCTGCAGAGGCAGCACAGATGATTTTTACAGAAGAGGTAAATAGAAGTTCAAGCAGCCAAAAGAAAGTACCAAGAAGGATACAGCAGGTGGTCTTTCTTCCTTTTATGCACACTGATTTGAGTAATACAACAATCTCTATCACTCCATTGGTGTGTATGTGGAAATATCATCTTTTCCATCACCCAAAAAACTTTGGCCTCAAGTACATTGGACATCTCAGGTTCCCAAACCCCTTTTCTTAATTATGAACTATGAAACCTGGGCAACCTGGTAATTACCAGACAGGACAAAGCATGCTTTAGCTCTCTAACTGGCTTCCAGGAACTGATAATTTTTTTTACTTTCTCCTCCTAAAAGGAGCTCAGTAATGCTGCTGATAAAAACAACTATCTAATGGATCTTTCAAGATGAAACTCATGGCAGGTTTAGTAAAAAAATAAACAAAACTGCATAATCCTTTATCTAATATATTAGCTCAAAAGAGGAAGATGCAAAGGTGTCAAAAACAACAAGGTCAAGTGTGGGAGTAACATATTTTCCTGAAAGCAGACAAAGATAGGGAAATCCTCTGACATGTCAGTATTGCCTGTTATTTCCAGTCATTGAAAGAGATGAAATTCCTTATGGAGGAATTAACAGAATACTGTTCTCAGTAATTTGAAAACAAGATCAAGGAGGCTGTATATGAAAAATGGAGTTGCCATCACTCTGAAGAAGGAATGTGGTGAGGTTTGTTATTTGCCTCCCAAAGGCCAGGCCACAAGACTGCTGTGTCTGCCTTTAGAAAAATAGAAATACCAGGAAGATCCCCTTTTCTTTGTGTTCTGCTGGCACCTAACAACTCTCAGATGAGCTGTCAATTAGCAACACATGGAAAACAAAACTGATCTTAAAATGTACAAAGCGTTTATACTGAAAGCAAACAGAAAGACTAAATTTTGACCTTTCAAATTTCCTTAAGCTACCAACACATTTGGTTTTTTGAAAGGGAGCTGATTTGTGTATCCACCTGGCCAGGGGAAGAGGAGAGAAAAGGGAGTCACTGATGTATTAATAATGTAACTTATTTGCATTGCAAAGAAACACTATACCAAGTGCTAGACAATCATTATTTTACACCAGGCTACATTTGACCTCAGCCCAGTTCTCTGTCACATGGGGATGATGACTTCCAAGTGTACCACTTCAGTATTACATATTCAATAAAGCCCCACACAAAACAGTGGGAAAATAAACTAATTCAGTAGATAAGGCTGAGAAAACAAAGCCTCCAGATTAGCAAAGTCATACACTGTTCAAATGATATGAGAATAATTTTGTTCTGCATTACACCATTCATGTGTTTATACTGTAGCAATTTCATCATATATTTGCACTTAAGTTCCATTCTCTCTTAATGTGCCCTAAGTTTAAATAAAGTTTCTTCAAAGTCATGGTACATTCAGTAGACTTGAGATTTAACAAAATTCAGGCAACATTTAGTTTCAAAATTCAGGATATGGTGTACTCCTGGAAAGCCACTCTACAAAATCAGGTCACACTACATAGTATTTTAATCTTGCTTCAAGCAGAGGCTTAGGACAGTGGGTAAAGAATAAATTCCAATGCAAACTTCTCATTGGTAATTAAAGGTAGGCAAAATTTAAAGCTGTCATGGCCTTAAAGGTCAATACAATCCATTATTGACAACACACAACACTCTCCAAGATAAAGGCCTATCACCAGTCCTGATTGTTTCTCCTTCCTTCCCCTTAAAAAACCACATTTGCAAGCAATTTTCCCTTCAAATTTTCCATCTTCTCATCCAGCTCTGCCCTGGCTGGTGAGGTCTGTGGGCAGGACCACGAGCTGCAGCAGCTCAGCCCGCTCCCAGCATGGCAATGTGGAAAGCAAACAGTTACAGAGCTGGCTGGCAGCTTTGGCACAGACTGAACACACGCTCACACTCCCCCACACATCCAGGTCTAATTTGACAGTGCCCATGCTCTCCAACAAAGCTGCTATTCAGGGCCAGGGGAAGCTTGTTCCTTATGCATGGAGGTTACGAGCTCGGAGAGGCTGACGCAAACCATCCCCTGCTGCAGCCCAGCCCTGCGCTGCCTCCTGGTCCTCCCTGCCACGTTTGAAGCTCCAAACAGAAAAATATTATCACAGCGGGCAAGCCCTGCACACTGGGATGCCCTGTTTTCCACACTAGCAGTTTCTTCTCGCCACCTCTCAACACATCAAGTGACACGAGCACAGCCATGCACGCTTTGGGGAGGAAAAACAAAATGGGGGATACCTGCACAGGGACAGCATTACATGGCTCAAAACCTACTTAAAACAGTCTGCTGGAACCCAGAGGAGCTCTGTGACTTACCTGAGAGCATTACCACTGAGCACCTGCAACTGAATTAATACAATTAAACTCCTTAGGGAGCAAAGAGAAAAGAAGCACCGTCTCCAAAAAGCTGATGGGAAGTGTTTTGTGTGAATAGTAAAGTGCATTAATTGGTACTCACATACAATGGAGCTTGCTGTGGATTTAGTTTCATGACCTCAGAACACTGAAACAAAAAAGAAAAAGCACGTTTAAGCTATTTTTCATAAAACTGCACGTATTTCTCAATAAGTTGCTTTAGCACTCACACATTCCTTTTTCCAATAAGCACTTTTTCTCTTCCCCTTCAGGTCCATCTCAGTTCATCTTTCCTCCTAGCAATCCTCACTTCCTATCTGATTTTTATGGCAATTATTTAATCATTAATTGAAATCCTTCCACCAATTTCCCCATTCCCCCATGAAAAATCATTTATGAGTATTTGCAATTCTCTCTGCTGCTCAAGAAATCCAACTACCACCTTGTCCAAGATAATTCGGTGTCATTTTTTACTTCTTTCACTGGATTATTTGTTAAAAAACATTTCAAAACTACATAGAAAACAAACTATCAAAAACGCTCTGAAGGAAAAACGTCCAGAATATATGATGCTCATATTCTGATTGCATTTTTCACAATCAAAATCTACCATTACTCATCCTGCAAAAGCTATTTGAGTCAAGAATCTTTCCTCTTTCCGGTCTGTCCCTGGAATTTCTCCATAACCTGGTGAAAGTTTCTTATATTGAGCTTTGAATCAGCTGAACCAGAATTTCTCTTGCATTAGTTCTTCCACTCCAGCAGAAAATATTCACTCTAAACAAAAGCTCTAAGTTTTCATTTAATGTGTGTATTAAGAGATCCAGGATCCTAAGATGAAGGAATGCAAAACAATTAAAAATGGAATTTCTGCTGTTACTCATGTCTGCAGAACTGGTAATGCTCTGCAAATACTTCAAGCTCTTTTTAAAATAGATGAAATACCATTCTGCTTTTCACACCAAAAATGCAGGATCTTGTTCATACTTTGCTCCTGTCCAAATCCCACAGTTTGCCTTTAGTGAGACAGAAATTAAACCACAGCCTAAGTTCTCTTAGCTGATTCCAGCTAGCCCTGCTCCCTCACACGCTCTCTTCATTTTACAAAATGTTTTTGTGCCAGTTGCTTTAAAATACCAGTGATCTGCCAAGCTTGTGCATCAAAACAGCCCCTCTGCAAACGGTCCTCTGAGGCAGCCAGTGGATGGAGAAGTATTTTGCAAGAGTTTTAAATCCAATCCAATTGATACCTGCTTTTAACCTTAAGATTCCCCTTCGTACAGCAAGAACACCCTGATAGTTATGCCTGATAGTTTTCACTGTATTTTCAGCTCTTACAAAACTTACTCAGGAAAAGAGGGGATTAGTAGCACCAGCTGCCATTTGGGCAGGTGAGCTCCAAGAACAGCTCTGAAAACAATCTTCACTTGTGCCCTACAACATGCCCCTGGCAGTTCCAGTCCTACTGAGGGCTCAAAAGGAATCAAAAGAAACAAAACCAAAAAATGCACAAAATCTGCCAAGCTCCCTCATGACCTATCTGAGCCTCTCTCTCTCCTGTTCTGAATCTGGGTGTCCTAAACAGGAGCATAAAAACATTCCCTAGACAAGAACATTCATTGTATCATATAGAAATCAATCATGCTTGAAAAAACCCCCAAGATTTCAAGCTCACTTCACACATGGATTTTTATCATTTCTCATTGGTACAGACTAATTCCCTGTGAATTCAAACTCATAGGAGTTTTTGCTGGGTTTTTTTTTTTTTTTTGGCAAGAGAAGTGCACAGCAGCAGCAGTGAAATAAGGTGACACTGCTGAACACTGGGTCTTGTCAAAAAATCATGGGAATACTTCCTGCAGGAAGATTTTTCCCCCCCCTTATTTTACTGCATGATCCTTGCATCAGTCACTTAAAGTGGTTCCTTGGTTCATAATATACAAGTCATTCCAATTTTTCTAAAGATACAAACTCAGTTTGCAAGGAGCCAGGCAGATTTGGAAGATATTTCATTTTATCTTGTTAGTTAGTTATTTGGCAAAAACACAGGAGAAAAAGCAAGTGACAGATAAGCCTGAATGACTACTCTGAGTCAATAAAGGACTAAATTTAGGTTTCTAGACAAGTGAATTTCTCCTACCAATAGACAAGCAGGGAGCAGCCTCTGAAAAACTTTAAAAAACCTTTAATCCAGTAAGAAGAGGAAAAACAAAAAGCAGATCATACTGGTCATAACCTAGCCAAGATACACAGGGAACCTAACACAGTCAGTAAGTTGGACTACTTCAAGTGTAAAAATGAGGAGGGAAAGGAAGCTAAACAGCTAAACTTTGTTTTCCCCTATTATTAGAGGGGCACATCCTTCAAGCCAATGCCTGCTCTGAGCCCAAAAAAGCCATTTCTATCTTTTTGGGCAGGAAGAACTTGCTGTACCAGATACAGAAGAATGCAGTGAGAATAACTGGCCCTACTGTGACATCAAGATCCAGACTGCACATGAACTGTCTTAAATGCCAAAATAACAAGAACAGGTAAATATAAATCCCACCTTAATTACCCAGCACCCTCATGGCAGCCTACACATTCTGTTCTAGTAGCAGCTGCCTGTACTTAAAAACATTTATGGTATTTCTCACAAATAGCTAAACCTTTTGAATTTCAGTGGGAGGTTTATCACAAGCTCCATATACATCCAGAAAATTACATTGCAAGGTTTCTAGAATTATATTAGGCTTTCCACCTTAGGATAACACAGTGAAATCCCTTGTATTTGCAAATTGGAAAGCAGGACATGAAATGGTTCAAGTTCTACAAAGCAGCAGTGGTTTTAGACATTATAAAAATTTGCAGAGGTCAGTAAAATAGAAAGCTACTAGAGCCTTCTCAAAATGGGACAGACACCTTTCTGCTCTGTTAAGCACTGAAGAATTAATACAGTGAGTTTTATTAAAGTCTCTTTTAGAGGACTTCTGTGTTATTTCACATAAAATTTCATGGATGAGGACAAATGACTGCTCTTCATTTCTCCGGATATGGTAATATATGTCAGGGAAAGAAAGGAAAAAAAAAAAAAATCATTTATTTGCTTTACTGTGGTTCCCAAAACCTCATCCAGAATTAGGGCCCCACTGGTTACATGCTGTAAAAATGTCAATGCAAACAAAGTTTCTGCCCTGAAGAGTTTACAAATAAGCACAGGCAGCAGGAAGGGACACAAACCCCTCGTGCCAAAGCAATAAACCCTCCTCTCATCCACTGCCCCCAGCTACCACTAATTTGGCCATAATTAGGTGGCTTATTTCTTCTAGGCATTGCAGGCAAAGTGTGTATCATGAGGACAAATCTGACAGGGAGGTCAGTGCTCCTCCAGGCCAACCCATCCCACACAGAGTCTGCAGTGCTGAGGGACTCTGAACACCATGAATGCCAAAATGCCTTTTCCATTTTCCCATCACACCCTGGTCAGGATTGCTCTTTTTGGCAGTGGGTTAAATCAAATGCTGGTTTCACTGCTCAGCTTCTGTGAGCTCCCCAGCATCCACTCCTGGCTGCCTGGCTCCATATGGAGCACATATAAGAAAGAAAACAGTTCCACTCTCAAGAGCTGCCCATTAATAAATTTATATTTCTTTTTTTTATGAGAAAGAAAATCTACAGGATGGCAGAAACAAAAACAACCACTCTTGCCTCCAACAACTGAACAGAACTGCAAGAACCAGGAGGATGAGGAGTATTTAATCCACATGGTGCAGCTAGGAAAGCCTACCTACCCCTTTCCTTCTCCCTCATGCACTAAACAAACTTCAATTGTAAGTGAGTTTTTTCAAGCTTTTCAAGTTCAGTTTTTAGGTATTTTAAGTAAACTTCAGCTAGGCATATACTTCAAGTTTAAGCTGAACTTTATCTGAATCTCAGCACTTGACCTTTTCATTTATCATTTTAACATTTGATTTTTAGAAACATTGATCCTTATTTGCAAAGCTTTACCCATGCACTCTGAGCTGTATCAAAGAAAAAAACCAAAGCCCAAAGAAAACCTAACCCAATCTTAGCCACGAAGAGCTTGTGGTTGTAGGCAAGAAAGAACAGCCAAAAATGAAGAATGAAGAATCTGATGGTTACAGATGGCATGGAAAGCATTCCAGTAGATAAACAGAAATGCAGAGAAAGCAGGATGGCTTTCCAGCTGTAAGTATCACAGCATTGCTGGGATGAAAGTCAAAGGAGGATTTACTTTTTTTTGATGCAACAGAACTTAGTTTGTAAAAATTATCCTGTAGAACTGGTTTGAAGAAACTACACTTTGATTTTAAGGCTCTGGAATAAAAATTCACTAGGTAGGCCAAACTATCTATATCCTATAGAAATTAGGAAAGCACTAGAGATGCTAGTTATCTGCAAGAGAGCTAGACAAACAGAATTTATTTTATATATTTCTTTGAACAGAGATATCAATAACCCATGGTGGGGCAACCTGTCTTATAGGCAACCCTTTAGGCAAATAGCCCAGAAGTTGTGAAAGAGTTTAAAGAAATGCCAGGATTTCCTGGGAGCACACATTCACCTCCCTTGCTGAGCTGCATCACTTCCTTCTATATGGCTGCACTATAAAAATAAAACCAAGCTTCCAAAACCACTTTTCATTCAACAAAGCAGTGTCCTCAAAGGCACTCCTGGTTGTACAAAATGTTAATTTATGAAGTACTTGGAAATATCAAGAGGATTGGGTTTCAGGGCCCTACAGAGCTGCTGCTCTAAACTACACAAGATAAATAAAGATGGGGAAGTGGAAAGTGAGGGGAGCAGAGAGGAGACCAACTGCCCATATACAGAGGAATTCCTGCTGGAGCCATGATTTCATGCAAAGAGAACTAAAATAGCAATGTCTTTCACAAGTTTATTGTTCTCCCCTAGTGTCAGGGGAATTGCTAAGCTGGAATATTCCCTTTTTCTTCTGAGTGGTATATGACCTTTATTGTGTTGTATTACCCATCAGTCTCCTAATTTTTTTTGTTATAACACAATTATTTGAAAAAAGGCTCTTCTTGGTGGAGTTTTTTGGTTTTTTTTTTCTTTTTCACTTTTACCAAAAACTCTGAAAATGGGAAGAAACAATGGCTTGATGTTGGTTTTATTATTTATATTTTC